TGGTGATGCTGGTGGTACCCAATGGGGTGATGGGGATGGGACCCTATGGGGTGATGGGGATGGGACCCTATGGGGTGATGCTGCTGGTACCCAATGGGGTGATGGGGATGAAGGCCCCCCCCCAATTGCTGCTGCCCCATAGGACAATGGGGGCTGGACCCCCATCATCTGGGCTGCGGAGCACAAGCACATCGAGGTCATCCGGCGCCTGCTCACCCGTGGGGCGGACGTCACCCTCACCGACAACGTCAGTGGGGCCCTATGGGGGGCTGGGGTCACTTATGGGGGGCTGGGGTCACTTATGGGGCGGTTTGGGGTCACTTATGGGGGGTTTGGGGTCACTTATGGGGGTTTGGGGTCACTTATGGGGGGTTTGGGGTCACTTATGGGGTGGTTTGGGGTCACTTATGGGGGTTTGGGGTCACTTATGGGGCGGTTTGGGGGCACTTATGGGGTGGTTTGGGGTCACTTATGGGGCGGTTTGGGGGCACTTATGGGGGGTTTGGGGTCACTTATGGGGGGTTTGGGGGCACTTATGGGGCGGTTTGGGGGCACTTATGGGGGGTTTGGGGTCACTTATGGGGCGGTTTGGGGGCACTTATGGGGCGGTTTGGGGTCACTTATGGGGCGGTTTGGGGTCACTTATGGGGGTATGGGGTCACTTATGGGGGTCTGGGGTCACTTATGGGGGGCTGGGGTCACTTATGGGGGGTCTGGGGTCACTTATGGGGCGGTTTGGGGGCACTTATGGGGGGCTGGGGTCACTTATGGGGGGTTTGGGGTCACTTATGGGGCGGTTTGGGGTCACTTATGGGGCGGTTTGGGGGCACTTATGGGGCGGTTTGGGGTCACTTATGGGGGGCTGGGGTCACTTATGGGGCGGTTTGGGGTCACTTATGGGGCGGTTTGGGGTCACTTATGGGGGGTTTGGGGTCACTTATGGGGCGGTTTGGGGTCACTTATGGGGCGGTTTGGGGTCACTTATGGGGGGTTTGGGGTCACTTATGGGGCGGTTTGGGGGCACTTATGGGGGTCTGGGGTCACTTATGGGGGGTTTGGGGTCACTTATGGGGGGTTTGGGGTCACTTATGGGGCGGTTTGGGGTCACTTATGGGGGGCTGGGGTCACTTATGGGGTGGTTTGGGGTCACTTATGGGGGGTTTGGGGTCACTTATGGGGCGGTTTGGGGTCACTTATGGGGGGTTTGGGGTCACTTATGGGGCGGTTTGGGGTCACTTATGGGGCGGTTTGGGGTCACTTATGGGGGTTTGGAGTCACTTATGGGGGGTTTGGGGTCACTTATGGGGGGTTTGGGGTCACTTATGGGGGGTTTGGGGTCACTTATGGGGCGGTTTGGGGGCACTTATGGGGGGTTTGGGGTCACTTATGGGGCGGTTTGGGGTCACTTATGGGGGTCTGGGGTCACTTATGGCGGTTTGGGGTCACTTATGGGGCGGTTTGGGGTCACTTATGGGGGGTTTGGGGTCACTTATGGGGGGTTTGGGGTCACTTATGGGGGGTTTGGGGTCACTTATGGGGGTCTGGGGTCACTTATGGGGCGGTTTGGGGTCACTTATGGGGGGCTGGGGTCACTTATGGGGCGGTTTGGGGTCACTTATGGGGGGCTGGGGTCACTTATGGGGCGGTTTGGGGGCACTTATGGGGGGTTTGGGGTCACTTATGGGGGGTTTGGGGTCACTTATGGGGGGTTTGGGGTCACTTATGGGGGTCTGGGGTCACTTATGGGGCGGTTTGGGGTCACTTATGGGGGGCTGGGGTCACTTATGGGGCGGTTTGGGGGCACTTATGGGGGGTTTGGGGTCACTTATGGGGGGTCTGGGGTCACTTATGGGGCGGTTTGGGGTCACTTATGGGGGTCTGGGGTCACTTATGGGGCGGTTTGGGGTCACTTATGGGGGTCTGGGGTCACTTATGGGGGGTTTGGGGTCACTTATGGGGGTCTGGGGTCACTTATGGGGGTTTGGGGTCACTTATGGGGCGGTTTGGGGTCACTTATGGGGGGTTTGGGGTCACTTATGGGGGTTTGGGGTCACTTATGGGGGTCTGGGGTCACTTATGGGGGTTTGGGGTCACTTATGGGGCGGTTTGGGGTCACTTATGGGGGGTTTGGGGTCACTTATGGGGGGTTTGGGGTCACTTATGGGGGGTTTGGGGTCACTTATGGGGGTCTGGGGTCACTTATGGGGCGGTTTGGGGTCACTTATGGGGGGCTGGGGTCACTTATGGGGCGGTTTGGGGTCACTTATGGGGGGCTGGGGTCACTTATGGGGCGGTTTGGGGTCACTTATGGGGCGGTTTGGGGGCACTTATGGGGGGTTTGGGGTCACTTATGGGGGGTTTGGGGTCACTTATGGGGGTCTGGGGTCACTTATGGGGCGGTTTGGGGTCACTTATGGGGGGCTGGGGTCACTTATGGGGCGGTTTGGGGGCACTTATGGGGGGTTTGGGGTCACTTATGGGGGGTCTGGGGTCACTTATGGGGCGGTTTGGGGTCACTTATGGGGGTCTGGGGTCACTTATGGGGCGGTTTGGGGTCACTTATGGGGGTCTGGGGTCACTTATGGGGGGTTTGGGGTCACTTATGGGGGGTTTGGGGTCACTTATGGGGGTTTGGGGTCACTTATGGGGCGGTTTGGGGGCACTTATGGGGGTCTGGGGTCACTTATGGGGGGTTTGGGGTCACTTATGGGGGGTTTGGGGTCACTTATGGGGGTTTGGGGTCACTTATGGGGCGGTTTGGGGGCACTTATGGGGGTCTGGGGTCACTTATGGGGGGTTTGGGGTCTCTATGGGCGGTTTGGGGTCACTTATGTGGTGTCTGGGGTCACTTATGGGGCGGTTTGGGGGCACTTATGGGGGTTTGGGGTCACTTATGGGGAGTTGGGGGTCACCCCCCATAGGATACCTTTACTGCCCCATAGAATACCTTTACTCCCCATAGACCCCATTTCCCCCCCCCATAGGCCCCGTTTCCCCCCCATTGGATACCTTTCCCGCCCCATAGAATACCTTTAGCCCCCCATAGAATACCATTCCCGCCCCATAGAATACCATTCCCACCCCATAGAATACCATTCCCACCCCATAGAATACCATTCCCACCCCATAGAATCCCATTCCCGCCCCATAGAATACCATTCCCGCCCCATAGAATACCATTCCCGCCCCATAGAATACCTTTCCTGCCCCATAGGCCCCATTCCCGCCCCATAGAATCCCATTCCCGCCCCATAGAATCCCATTCCCACCCCATAGAACCCCATTCCCACCCCATAGCCCCCATTCCCGCCCCATAGAATCCCATTCCCACCCCATAGAATCCCATTCCCACCCCATAGAACCCCATTCCCACCCCATAGCCCCCATTCCCGCCCCATAGAACCCCTTCAGCCCCCCCGTTGTGACCGCCCCCCATGCTCGCTATGGGGCAGGAGGAGAACATCTGCCTGCACTGGGCCTCCTTCACGGATAGGCCCCATTCCCACCCCATAGAACCCCATTCCCACCCCATAGAACCCCATTCCCACCCCATAGCCCCCATTCCCGCCCCTCATAGAATCCCATTCCCACCCCATAGAATCCCATTCCCACCCCATAGAATCCCATTCCCACCCCATAGGCCCCATTCCCACCCCATAGAATCCCATTCCCGCCCCATAGAACCCATTCCCACCCCATAGAATCCATTCCCACCCCATAGAATCCCATTCCCACCCCATAGAATCCCATTCCCACCCCATAACCCCCATTCCCGCCCCATAGAATCCCATTCCCACCCCATAGAATCCCATTCCCACCCCATAGAATCCCATTCCCACCCCATAGAACCCCATTCCCGCCCCATAGAATCCCATTCCCACCCCATAGAACCACATTCCCACCCCATAGAATCCCATTCCCACCCCATAGAATCCCATTCCCACCCCATAGCCCCCATTCCCACCCCATAGAATCCCATTCCCACCCCATAGAACCCCATTCCCACCCCATAGAATCCCATTCCCACCCCATAGAATCCCATTCCCACCCCATAGAATCCATTCCCACCCCATAACCCCCATTCCCGCCCCATAGAATCCCATTCCCACCCCATAGAATCCCATTCCCACCCCATAGAATCCATTCCCACCCCATAGAACCCCATTCCCGCCCCATAGAATCCCATTCCCACCCATAGAACCACATTCCCACCCCATAGAATCCCATTCCCACCCCATAGAATCCCATTCCCACCCCATAGCCCCCATTCCCACCCCATAGAATCCCATTCCCACCCCATAGAACCCCATTCCCACCCCATAGAATCCCATTCCCACTCCATAGAATCCCATTCCCACCCCATAGAATCCCATTCCCGCCCCATAGAATCCCATTCCCGCCCCATAGCCCCATTCCCGCCCCATAGAACCCCATTCCCACCCCATAGAATACCATTCCCACCCCATAGAATCCCATTCCCACCCCATAGAATCCCATTCCCGCCCCATAGCCCCCATTCCCACCCCATAGAATCCCATATCCGCCCCATAGAATCCCATTCCCACCCCATAGAATCCCATTCCCACCCCATAGAATCCCATTCCCACCCCATAGAATCCCATTCCCGCCCCATAGCCCCCATTCCCGCCCCATAGAACCCCATTCCCACCCCATAGAATCCCATTCCCACCCCATAGAATCCCATTCCCGCCCCATAGAACCCCATTCCCACCCCATAGAATCCCATTCCCACCCCATAGAATCCCATTCCCACCCCATAGACCCCATTCCTGCCCCATAGCCCCCATTCCCACCCCATAGAACCCCATTCCCGCCCCATAGAACCCCATTCCCACCCCATAGAACCCCATTCCCGCCCCATAGAATCCCATTCCCACCCCATAGAACCCCATTCCCACCCCATAGAACCCCATTCCCGCCCCATAGAAACCCCATTCCCGCCCCCATAGAACCCCATTCCCGCCCCATAGAACCCCTTCAGCCCCCCCCGTTGTGACCGCCCCCCATGCTCGCTATGGGGCAGGAGGAGAACATCTGCCTGCACTGGGCCTCCTTCACGGATAGGCCCCATTCCCACCCCATAGAACCCCATTCCCACCCCATAGAACCCCATTCCCACCCCATAGCCCCCATTCCCGCCCCATAGAATCCCATTCCCACCCCATAGAATCCCATTCCCACCCCATAGAATCCCATTCCCACCCCATAGGCCCCATTCCCACCCCA